TCCAGTTTCCTGCCGTTTCTTATCTACATTAGACCTGAAATATGCCTTTGCAGCCCTATAGAGTTGCCTGTTTAGTCAAAGAGTTCATGGATACAGAAAATTCTTCATTGTCTATAAATCCTAAATTTTCAATTTGGGTGTGTCAGCTTAAACTGTCATTTGCTGTCTTGACTAAGACCCATTAGAGAATTTTATACATGACAGGTTCATATCTCTTTATTGAAGGCTTGTACAAGTATTTGATATTTTTACCTCATGCCTACATATTTCCCACTGAAAGTTTGCTCCTTCAGTTTAGTTCTTTGTTTTGTAGATAGTCTATGTTTTCTGGCTTTCCCTCTTCTCCCTTTCCTTCTCAATATTCAGAGTAACAATACAGTCTGATGAGCAGGAGAATGGCAGATCTTCTTTAGCAAAAAGTGTATATAAAAAGTGTACCATTTTTCCATTCTTATCACATACACTAGGCTGATTCAGTTTGATTCTTTAGTCAGAAATCAAATCTACTTTTAAACAATATAGTGCTAATATATTTTTCTCTGTATTAAGATGCACATGACAAAGCAGGGATCTGGGATTTCTAAATCTTAAGTATTTAGAGAGCATGATGCTGCTAGCATTCTGCTCTCCATGAAATAACATTTCTCTGAGTAGCAGCTGCCTTTTTCATCTTGCAATCAGTCCATCAGTCTCCTTCAATGTTTCAGGAATGAATGAAGGTTTTGGTTTTATTTGTGCCTCATTATCTGCTGAGGAGTGAGACTCTCAGAAAGACTATGACTGGCCTATATTGCCTTGATGCATGTGAGGTATTAAGTGGCTTATCTCATACCTCTCACAGCAAAACAGATTAGAGAAAGACCATGTACATATTATCTAGCAGCAGTGTTCCCTAGAAACATCATACTGTTTAATTTTTTCTCTTGCCACTTCTTCCCTTCTCTTTAAACACCTGATAACATCAGATATAAAACAGTAAGTAGTTTAAGTTTTGCTGGTGTTGGAGGACTTTTCAGCCAATGAATTTCCGTTTTAGCAGATCAGAGGACAGAAAACATATATCCTCAAATATGTACACTGAAATTCCTAAGGTTACTCGGGCAGTATATTTGGATTCCTACTTAACTAATAGATAGCAATGTTGCATCTCTAAATTTTGTCTCTCATTTATAACCCTGACAGCATATGTACAAGGTAGATTTTAATACTGGCTTTAAACCATCTTTATTAATCCTCTTCAACACAGGCTTCACCAGGGTGTAGCTATAGGGATGGGATTAAATTGGACTCACTGCAGCAGATATCACCCTCTCAAGAAGCCAGTTCTATTTTTCTCAGACACCATATCCTAGTACCCACATTGCTCATCAGATGTTCTGGGATGCATGCTGGGACAGGCCTGGATAGCTACCATGCTGGATTATGATACCAGATAAACCTGGACTGTTGTACATCACAGATTGAAATTTGTAAATACCCATGGAAAAGCCTGCACAGCTATGCTTATTAAAGATCATTTCATTTAATGAGCAAAATAACTGAGCTACTTTGTAATGCACACCAGAGTAAAGTGCTCTAGATTAAAGTCTTGGAGCAGTACACTACAGAACACCTGCACTGATAGACTGTAGAAGTGTAGCTGTCCTGATGTAAACAAAAAGAAAAATTATTGAGCTCACAGCAAATAATAGAATAAATTTCAAGATATTTAACTCCAGCCAGATCTCTGACACATAGGCTCTCTGATTTTTTGAGTTAATTTTTGTTTGAATCAAGACATGTCTTTTAGAAACCATTTAATTTTGTATTACAGATTTCTCATGAACCTTCCCCATCATGACTACAGCTAAGCTGTTAAAATGGTCAGTCACGCAATCTGCCAAAAGTATAAAGAGCTCATCCTGTATTTTGATGGGTTGCCTTACACACTTGTCTTCTATATTGAAGTGCTTTTTATTATTGCATGTATGATATTCTAATGTCTCCAGCTTCCATAGTAATAGTATTTTTCTTTTCTTCTTTGATATTCCTAGTATACCAAGGTGTGCTGGTTTTGGCTGGGAGAGTGTTTATTCACAGTAGCTGGTACGGGGCTGTGCTTTGTGTTCTGGTTTTGTGTTGTGGGACAGTTATTTCCTTCACAGTAGCTGGTATGAGGGTGTGTTTTGGATTTCTGCTGAACACAAGGTTCATCATGTAGAGATGTTTTTGTTGTTGGTGAGCAGGGCTTACACAGACCCAAGGACTTTTCTGATTTTCATCCTGCCGTGCTGGGGAGGAGACTGGGGGTGCATGGGAAGCTGGGAGGTGACACAGTCAGGGCAGGTGACCTCAACTGACTAAAGGGACATTCCATACTCTGGGGGAAGAAGGAATAAGGGGAAGGGCCTTTGGAGTGCTGATGTTTGTGTTCCCAAGTCACTATTATGCATGATGGGGCCCTTCTCTCCTGAAGATGGCTGAACACCTGCCTGCCCATGGGAAACAGTGAATTCATTCCTTATTTTGCTTTGCTTGTGTACGTAGCTTTCACTGTTAAACTGTCTTTATCTCAACCCAGGAGTTTTCCAGCTTCTACCCTTCCAACCTCTTCCTGATCTTTCTGGTGGGGAGTGAATGAGTGAATGGCTGTGTGGCACATGGCTGCTGGCTGGCGTTAAAGCATGGCACAAGGCTTACTGAAAGTCAGTATTAAAAGTCCAAAAGGCCCCTCAGATTTTTTTAGCTCTATTTGTTAAAAGTTATCAAGAACTGCTGATTAAAAGTTTGTGACATTACTGGCTCCAGTTTAATATCCTGCTGAATTACTGTTGAAATTGAAAGTATTTTATCACAGTCGTGTTCTGACATCAAGTTTTGATCTTTCTCCAAGCACAGAACTATGCTAAGCATTAGTTAATACAAAAGATATACTTACACAGACCTTGCATTGTTAAATGCTACTGGATTTTTATGCAATGCTATTGATAACTCTATTGTTACTACTTTAATAATAGACCTGTTACCATTTGTTTTTGCTTGATATGAGAAGTGAAAGAGTACTTTTAATTATTTGTCACTCCATTCATTATTGTGTCCTTTGTTTCCTTCCCACATTTTACCAGTTCCTAGTTTCTAGTTTGTTGTTAAACTCTTTTTTCCCCATCTGTTATTTTGTTTTCATATTATATTTGCCGCAGTTGCTTTCACATTTACTCTTAGCTGAGATGAATGTTTTAACATGTGTAATCTTTTTTTTTTTTTCAGTTGTAATCTAGCAAAACATTATTAAAGTGTTGCAAACACCATCCACATTTCTTACATAAAAGTTATTTCTTCATGGGTTGTGACTACTAATTGTCTCAGGTCTATAATACTGGAATTTCCAGGCAACATTCTGTGTCTAAATACATCATTCCTTTGTTATGTGAATTACAGAACAAAGGTAATAGTTCGCTACATTTTAGTTTTGTGATCACTTCCTCTGTCAGTCACAACGTGAATTAAAGCAGGCATTGTGACATGCAGATGTCACCTTTGCCTCTGAGATTCTGCCTTTCTGTCCCTTTTGGTGAATATTTCCTTCCACGACAGTATGATTACTGTGGGAGCTAGAGAACTTACAGTGATGGGGAGTTGTAGTGTTTGGGGCTACTTTCAGACTATATTACCTTCAATAATTCCAGTCATTTACAGTGCTTCTGCTGTGGATGGGAACATGAATATGCATCAATCCCTGTATGGAATTTTATCCAGACACTTTATTTTTTTCCCAGCCTGCTATTCCTGACTTCTCTATGGCAGGACCTCAGTATTGCTTCTGCACTGCTTTGCTGCCATATACCACTTATTTTATCATAAAATAATGCTTGTCTCCTATAGAATAAAAAAGCAATATTTTCCATATTTCTTTTGGTTCTTTACATGTACTGTGAATATTGCAGTACAATGATGTCAAGTTGGCTTCATTGATTTTAGATAACGTATAAAAAACATTAGCAAGTGTTTAAGGAGCTCACGTTTTCCTAAGCTTCAAGTGTCGCCTCCAGAGCTTAATGTCATTTTGTTACCTTTCTTCCAGAAGTTCTTAGTCTGCTCCTGAGATAATGACTGGTTTTACTTTAGCTCTTATTTACTCTTTCCATAAATTAAAATAAAATAAATTTAAAATAAAATTAAAAAAAAAATCTGAGCAGCTGGACACATATGTTTGAATCAGTAGAAGACATGCCATTTTCTGCAAATGTAAGTATAAGTATTGGAGAACTCAACAGAGATTCATTAATGTTACTGGTATCTACAGTTTCATACTGACTCATGTTATTTCCAAGACATATTGAAAAAAACACAATATTTTTTAATCATACTCGATGTTCAAAACCAAATGGGAATATCTTGATGGCCTTCTTAATAAGACTAACCTGAAATCTTTGCTCCTCTTAATTTAGGTCAAAAAAGCTCTTTATTTTGTGCATATGTCTTTGTAACCTCATTTAATTATTCTCTGGAAGTAGCTATTGTTAAGACCCTACAATTTAGCACAGTTCAGCACATATTTTCAACTGCTTACAGGAGCACACTGGGGAATGTGCTTTAGTATCACTTCACACTTATTAAAATACAAATTCTGCCAGAGCAAGTATATGCTGCTGCCATGAATGAATAAATGTTAATCATAAAATGTTCAAGTGAAAACTCAACCTACTCAAGAATCTTGTCTAAATGTTTTTGAATAATAATATTTGTACCTGAATAAACATGTCGATGAAGTAATTGCATATATTGTCATAATGACTATTAATGCAGAAATGACTACACAGAGATGAAAAACAATAAATGCCTACAGCTTTTTTACTTCTAAAAAGAGTAATTTCTAATATATCTTTATAATACTTCTAATAAAATATTTCTAAAATTTAAAATATATTTCTAGAAAATCACAGCTGCCTCAAAGCACTTCTTTAAAATATGTCTCACTGCTGATAGAAATTTATGTATTCTTTTTTTCTCCCTCTTTTTAGATATTTTTAGACGCAGATACAATCCGCCTGGGAAATCTACCAGTGGGGTCCTTTTCATCCTCCTCCTCCTTCTCCTCCTCCTCCTCCTCACCCAGCTCTTCAGCTCCTCGCCAGACTATCTATGAGCTCTGCGCCTGTCCCAATGGTAAACTCTACCTGTCCCCAGCAGGAGCAGGCTCCACATGTCAATCCAGTAGCAACATCTGCTTGTGGAGCTAGAAGGACTCCGTTTTATCCTCACACCAGAATAGCCTTTGGTTACTATCCCTCAGCTTCACAGTTCAGTTCGGTTTCCCTTGTGACAAGCCCAACGCTCCGAGCAGCCTGCAGAGCAACTTCTTCCACTGTAAGCAGGAGTTCAGCGCTGCCTTCTCCTGGGGCTTGTGCTGCCTTTCAGCACAGAGATGGGAGAGAGAGATCCACTCAACAATGTATTCTTCATCAGGAAACCTAGAACATAAGATCACCTTATTTTCCAAAAGAGACAATAACACAGGTGCCTTTGCTACTTGAAGTGAAGCACATAGTTTTAGATTTTTGCAGGACCTGGATATGAACTGCACATAAATATATATCTAGAGAGACAGAGAGAGAGTACATTAATTTACCCAGAATCTGATGGTGAGATGAATTGGTTCCCCCTGTATGATAAATAACTTTACTGTCTGAAAGCACAATTTTCCATTCATCTTTTTGGAAGTAAACTTTTATCCCTGAATTTTAAAATTTTAAAGCATTGTGTGATGCTTGCTTTACTAAACAAATTCAGTAAATGGTTTTTAATACAAAAAGAGACAGAATTCCTCCCTGAGTTTGGTTTCTTTAAAAATGTGTTGTTACTATTTGTCTACTAAGTCTAGGGTTTTGTACACTAGGTAAATTTTGGAGATGCTCAGCAATATTCCTTTAAAAGTTTAAAAGAAATGCTCTTGTTTGTCAGATCTGAATGACCTTATATAATATTTTCGAGGCCATTGCATGTGAAGCAATTGCTTTAAGTAGAACACACAGTTTCTGGAAAAGCAGAACAGGGTAAAGAAGGAAATTCTGATGATATGTTTGTTGATCAGTGTATTGCTCTTCAAAAGGTTCTTATAATTGGCAAATACAAAGCCAAGGGAGAAATCTTCAAAGGTACATCTTGCCCATTTTCTGACTATGTCTATCCACTGCCACTTGAACACAGTGCAAACATTGGTAGTAATATAATGTGTGGTGCTGAGAAGCAGTGCACTAACAACTTGTATGACATTCACATTTATTATTCTCTTTTGTTTACCATCTGTTGCTGAGGTTTCAAAGTAATAGAAGTACATATAAAACCACATATTAAACAACATTCAGTATTAAAAATACATCGATACTTTAAATTGCCTTTACCAGGTCTCTGTTTAAATTATGCAGCCACATTTGCACTCAGATCTCACTGCTGACTTTCTTTTTTGACAAGAAGAAAATGTTTCTTTCAATGTTCATACTTATTTGGCTTGATTGTTTATTGAAATCTTATAAAAAATGCTTTGGTATGCTGCTGGTAAATTTGTCACAGCATTGATTAACAAGAGTATCTTGAAACTTGCAGAACCCAGGAAAGTAAAACAATATAAAAATGTTTCCTATTGTGGAAGATGGCTTGATTGTGTGAGGTAAGTGTGCTCTTTAATTCTACTATTTAAATTACATCACCTTGCTTGTATTTATAGAGGCTTCTGAATCTAAGGTCACCAATGAAATGAGAGCTTTTGCAAAGTAATTCTAAAGCCAGGGGAGATGGTGCAAGGTGGGTATTTCTACACACTTTAAAAAAATATATATTTTTAGAGGAAAAAAAATGAAAATGAGCAAACTAGCACGGCATCTTATTACCACCTAATAAGACTGACTTTGTTTTCACTTCAGGGGAAATCGCTCCTCTGCAGAAGACCAGCACAAGACGTGTCAGTGGCTTGACTGGTGCTTGCCTTACCATTGGCCCTCTTCAGAGGTGTGAATTTTACCCCATAGCAAGAAGTCTGTATTTGCTGGTTTTAACAGTTAAATGAAGATTTTGAATTGATTATTCTATGTCTTCAAAAGAAGGCTGTTAACAGCTGAGTTGTTGTCTATTTGAGAGTTTTCTTCTTTGGAGGAAATTATACTAGAAAATATTACAAGGAAATATATTAGAACATGAGGATTTTTCAGATAGTAAGAGGGGCAAAAAGAGTTACAGATGACAAAGAAGGTGACAATAGAACATGAAAAAGTGTAGCCATAAAATACACTCATAACTGTAGGGATATGGATGTCTTTTTCTTATGCACACAAGTAATAGAATGGTGGAGAGACAGTCATGAATTTCAGGAGGAAAAGTAAAAAGATATGTATGGGAGCACATCTATGTGTATTCATTATCTCTGCACATCTACATACACCTGTTTCTTAAAAGATGAACAAATATAGTGACTAATCTATTAGGTGACTGAAAGTGGGGCTTCCTACAAATTGTATACAGGTAAGCTAAGGAGTTTTTTTCTCCTCAAATAAACCTGTAGGATGACTTGCAGATACTTTGTAATGAATTTTCCACTGAATAATTTCTATTTGTTCTTCACCTTCGGAGATTATTTACCTGCTATTTGTTCACTGGATGGAAGGAACCAACCTTAATAAATTTTACACCAACTTGGTTGGGAATGGGCAGGGAGGAAGAAAACCCTTTTGTTACTAGATTAATTTTAACAGCAAGACTGAAATAATTTGCCACTTTGTGTGAAGAGAACTCAGAAGAGGTATGTGGGTAGTACACAGGACTCCAAAAAAACCAACCCAGTAAGTCCATGTGGCTCTGCACTGTCAGGATATTCTTTATTGGAGTCTCATCAGTATGAACTAGAGCATATTTAAGAGCTTCAACAACCTATGAGATGGAATAACAAGTTCTCATAAAGTCTTAATATTCTGGTGAATTTCATAATATTGATGTCTTTCTTTAAATCCATTGAAAACTGTAAGAAAGGAAGAAAAAAGTTTGTATTTTAAAAAGTATTTCTAGCCCACATGATTTCAAGGAGTATTCCTAAAGTGATTTCAGTGCATTAACCATAGTAAAAAATTAAGATGCCATCCTGATGACAGCAACAAAATATCTGCAAAGAACTTATTGGCTACATGTGTTTAATATATACAATGAATTAATCTCCTGTTAAAAAAACCATTTGTGTCATATTATAGGATGCTGTCTCTTTCTTGTTAAAAAAAAAGAAGAAAAAAGAAGAGAAAAGTAAAAGCATTAGCCAACCTCTCTGAGCACTGTCAGCTGTATGGTTTGTATTGCAGTTCATTCATTGGTTAAGTGTTAAGACCAAAGACAGACACTTCTATTATATCCAACATTATGACACTGCTGTTTCTACTAATTCTGTTGGAATGAAGAGATGAAAAGTTGTAATTACAACATGAAATGTAACATAGTTTAGATTTGTGCAGCATTTTGAGCTGTAGATTTTCACTTTTTTCCAGGGTTTAAATTTTTTGTCAGTGTTTTGCAATTACATTACTATTCATGCATATGGAGGGTCTTTTGGTGTTCCTAAGAAAACATACCAAGACATTGCTTCTTTGAAATGAAGTTATACTGATTTGCTTACAAAATTAGCTTGACTGGATAAAATAATTCACTTTCAAGCATATTAGATGCAGAGGGTTATTAAGTCTGGAAGACAGAGCCATAAATGTCTAGAAGGATTTAATGAAGGATGTTTGAAATATTTGGTTGCTAACATAATGTATCTTTTAGGGGGATTTTGTTTTATTTGTTTGTTTTGCTTTGTTTTTAGATTCTAAATAAGTGCTAAATAAAAAACAAATTAAAACCCCACAAACTTTGGACTATGGACTTGTTATCAGCTGATTCACTGTAATGCACATGAAAGTTGGATCAAAATTTGTGTTGTGTTGTATTGTTCCAAACACTACTCAGTAAAGGTCTGCTAACCATTTTTGCTTTGTAACCTTCATGTTAATGGTTTTCTTGTATATAGAAGTATATATAAAAAGATGGGAACTATTTTCTTACACATACTATGCAATATGTTTGTAGAACTGCAATATTACCAAAATTACAAAAGCTGTGCTTTTGTATTCTCTTGCTTTATGTAAATCAAATCTTTTTTCTATTTAATGGACTGTCTGTCTTAAAATTGTAGATAACATTATTCAAAAGCAGTACTCTGAATATTTTAAGATTTTTATTTTATTTACCTTTGATTTTTTTAATGAAAATAATAGCAAGGTTTTGGAAGTTGGAAATTGTTTTTTCTTGGAAAGCTAGAACTTTTTCAGCATGTAATTAACACTCAGTTTAAAATGTCTCCTGTACTTCTTTCATTTGGTCCTAGCATTTCCATCTGGTGCTACCATTTAACTATAAATAAATCTGATGCATTAAATAGGAAACATATCAGAACTAATTTCAAGAATAATCAAACAGGAATCCTGCTAAGGATGAGAAGAACATATAGAATGCCTGGTGAGAAACTTAGATTTTCTGGAGTTTTTTGATAGATTTTTTTTGTTAGTTTGTGTTTCCTTACCTCCATCTACATTAGCAGCATGGTAATAGCTTTAATTTGTTTTTCAATTGTTTTTTCCTCATGCACAGACTATAGTACAGTTTTCTTTCAAACATTTTTTGAAAACAACAGACACTGCATTTAAATGCAGTACTTATGTTAAGAAAACCCAATTTTAAAGAAGTGTAGGCTTTATTTCTACAGCAGCATTAGTAAAGTTTAAATTACGGCGCTGCTATATCATCTACCATAAAAGCATATTACACTTCTCAAGTTCCTTTGTATCTTGCCAGAATAAACTTAAACTGCATATTCATGTTTAAACTGCACTTGTTTACAAGCCACTTGAGAATTACAGAGTTATGTAAAAGGTTTTGTGGTGGTGTCATCAATGCAGACAAATTCTCTCTGTGCTTACCCTGGGCAGTGTCAGTGCTGGTAACAGCACAGCCCTGCACAGGGCTCGGACAAAAACCATGGTGAGCATTTAGTGGGTCTGTTTACACTGAGCTCCTTGATGCCATATTATGATTTCATCAATATCCAGACAGCAACTAGCTTCACAATGCCTAAAAAATCAGCAATTTCTGTTCACAGCAACAGTTGTATAGAACTGTCAGTAATATAGACTGATAAGACTCAAGTGACTAAAACGTGATAGCTGATACAGCAAGAAAAAATATTCTGAGCCATTTTACTCGGGGTTGGAGTAGTCCAGCCTGGGGAAACTACTG